GATCCTGCTCACCCATGCCGCCACGCGCATTTGGGTGCGGCGGTCCGCCGCCACGGCACTGCTCGGGTGCGTGCTCTCGGCGCTGTCGTGCATCGCGCTCCCATGCATCCTTGCCAGTATCGTCGACGAGCCACAGCGCGCTGCTCTCGAGACCTACTGCCCCGTCTTTGCCGTCGCGGCGCCAGCGCTTGTCGTCCATGCTGTCCTCGGCGACCGCGTCGCAACTCGCCGCCGCCGCGCATGGTTGGCTGTCCTTACCGCCGCCTCGAACGTCGGCCTCAACTGTTATTTATACGCGACCAGCGGCGTCCGTGCATCGGTGTGGCCGATCGTCGCCACGACATATGCCCACGCGCTCGGCCTCAGTGCGCTCTCGTGGTCGCTTGAGAGCCGACAGACTGCCGACAAAGATACCAAGAACAGGCCAACGCAAGCCCTTGCGACGATCGTGCCATGGCTTTCGGCCGTCGTCTTGGCGGTGACCCCCGCACCTGCGCTTGGCACGTCGCTCTTGGTGTACGTGGGCCTTGGTCTTGAGTTTGGCGCGGGCGTCGCTCGCAACTACGGCTGCCATCGCGTTGGCATCACTACCATTTCGAGTGGTCTCGTAGCGCTCGCGGTCGTCTATGGTGTTCCGTGGGCGACGGCGGTCAGTTCGACGGCTGTCGACAAGGTGGTGGTGGTGGCGTTTGGACTGGCGTCGTTGGCCACCGTCGTCGGACCACCAGCATCGCCAACGTCGACGGTGGGCGGTGCCGTTGTTTTCTTATTGGCGCGGCCGTTCTAGCTCTCCTTGCTCCTGGCAGCGCCATTGCTCTCTGGGTGCTGCAGGCGCTGGTCCAAGGTGCCAAGTGCGCTCTGGGTTGCGTCCCTCGTCAAGCACCAAGGTGCACCCAACAAGAAACTATGCACTTGCTCTCTGGACGGCCCGCGATCGATCACGTAAGCACTACATTCCTACTCTTTTCTCGCATTGACATGTACGCTATACTAGGGCGCGACGATGGCATCGACCACAGGCGATGATGGAGGGAAGGACAACGCGCCAACTCGATCAAATTCGGATGCCAGCGAGCACGCTCAAAGAAGCGTGTGGGCGCAGTGGTGCCCATGCTGCCGTCCTCGGCGCCCGCAGTCGTACAAGCAACAAGTCGTTCTCAGTACCGACGAGAACGGCCTCGAGATGTACGAACGTCACCGCGTGTCTCCGACGCTGCACGACACCCAAGAACGTGCCCGCCTTGTCCTTGATGCCGGCGCTTTAAAGTCGACGAGGGAGCTTGAAGCCAGCAACGCCGCGCAGCCAAGCACCGCACCAAGTACATCCACTGCATATGCCTTGCTTTCACTAAGGCAACCTTGATTGCGTAGACAATCTTGACCAGGACCGTCCAAGTTTGTATTTTCCGACGCATCGCGACAGCTGGCACGCCACGTCGCCGGTGGACGACGCGGTGCAAGACCGGACTCTGTCTGAAGAGTCTCTTGGCGCCTCGCGGCCGCAAGGTCACAGAGCGTCCGAAGAGAGCTACCGACTGTATTCGGCAGCGCGGGCGATGGCCGGTCGACAGTCGTCGTACGTCGGCAAGACCGCCTCGCCGTCGTCGAGCAATCAGATGCAGATCGTGACCACTCCACGATCGCATCTCCGAGGCAACAACACGGCTAGTACCACACCGCAAGAGATTGTGGCTACCAAGACGCTTTCGCACGATGACGACCGGTCCGTTCCAGTGCCAACCGACGTCGAGGCGGACGAGCTGCATCGTTTTTCCACGAACCGTCGCCTTGATCGAGATGCTCCGAGCGACTATTCTCGACTTGTGGATTCTATGGTCGCAAGCGGGTTGTTGGCCGCGCGCTGCAGATGGTCACCACCGAGCGCGAAACGGACGGCGGCTGCTGTGGTCTAGCTGGATGCCTGCCCATGTGCAGTCGCCGCCGTGCAATTGAATCGGGGCGAGGCGCCAAGGCGTCGACGGCTACTACGACGATGCAACCGGCATCAGATGACGCCACAGTGCCACTGCTGGGGTCAAGTCACCACTTGGAGCCGCGTGCAAGCGTCTGTGGGTGGTTGTGCTGCTCGGCGGCGTCGGACCCGCATGCCATCGACGAGGTTTCTCGACACGAGGCAGCTGCGTGCGTGCTCTGCTGTTGTACCGGGTCTTCTGACACCTCACTTGCCACCCGCTTGGCTCACAACGGCGACGTCGGCGCAGCGCATGGCACTTGCGCCGACGACGCTGAAAGCTCGATGGCGCCACCCGGCTTCGGGGCACAAGGTGTGGCATTGTCTGGCGACGGTGCTTCGTCTTTGCGCGGCTTGACGGTGTTGGCAACTGCCGACGACACGGCAGCGGCATCGATGACGGCGGCCGAGCGTCGGTTGACACAAGGAGGCACCGAGTTTGAAGGCGAGCAAAGCACCGGAACCGCCGCGTGCGGGCACACTGACGGATCTCTGCTGCTACGCCAAGAGACTTTGCGCGTGAGAGTAGTCGACAAGACTCGTGATCCCGTGGGTGCCGGTATGGACAACCACGAAGCGTCTGCCATGGATGCCATCGAGCTTCGTCGCCGCGACCGGTCGGCTCGGCAACTCGCGCAACCGGCTGCCAACGGTCAAGCCACAGATCCTAGTATGATCGGGTCTAAGGTGACCGACGGGAGACATGTCGGTGCCGCGACTGGCGGTATTCGGTGCTGCTTGGACGCAACACCATGCTCGCTTTGGTGTTGCACCACCGAAATGCCAACGACGTCACGAACCTCCACAGGTGACGCAGCTGCATCGACGGCCGGACGGAGCGCGCTCTCATGGCATGCGACGGTCGACTCCAACTCGGTGGATGCCCGGGCAATGACGGACGAATCCGCCACAACAACGAGCGCGCAAGGCGGGGCTTCTGTTGGCTTCGCCATCTATCCAATAAGCGACC